TTCATCTACTTCAACCATACACATTTCTTTATTATAGGTTGTCATATGGTCGACTCCTGTTCGAACATCCAAACTGGTGAACAGTTCGGACGCTTACTCAGACACAACTTCAATCGGCACTTCTCTACCAACCGTGCTCCGCTGGGATTACACTTCCACGCTTCATGGCTTAAGAGCAAACGAGAATTTAAAGATGAGCTAATCAAGTTCATCGAAGAAATGTTGAAGAGAAACGATGTGTATTTCGTCAACATGTTGCAAGTAAGTACCAGTTTTATAATTATATAATGCAGGACATAGGTACTCTGTAATGAGATACTGGAAATAATATATTAAATATGGTGACATAAATGATTGCATTATATAGGGTTTATAATATGCTTACAGTAATAAGTAACAACTTTAAATACCTAAAAGTGTTCACTAAATATAAAAAGTTCAGTCAAGTTGCATATGAAGTATTCAACTAAATATGCAAGTGATAATTTGTTGAGTACCTATAAAAACAAAATTAAAAACTATTATAATATTGATTATCTACATCGTAACATACATTTCGATGCTGAAAAAATATTTATTCATAATGGTATCTTACTTTAAAGGTTATTCAATGGATGCAAACACCAACTGAATTGGACAATATGAGAGATTTCACTGAATGGAAAGACGAAAACAGCAAATGTGATGTCAAAGGACAGCCCTTCTGCTCGCTATCAAATCCCTGCCCATTGACCACCAGAGAACTCCCGGGAGAGACAATCAGACTGTTCACCTGCATGGAATGCCCCAATTATTACCCATGGATTTTAGATCCAACTGGTGACGGATTTTCAACGAGAAGAAAGCGAAACATTCACTTGAACTTTAAAAACAAAAATCGCTACATCTAGTCACAATTCAAATCCAATGTCAGTTAAAATAAAGACATCTCATTTGTGATTTTATTTTCTTTTTCGTGCTCTACATTTCGTTGTTTTTATATTCGTTAGAAAATAAATTTGAATGTAAAAATAATATTCCAATAATTATTATGAGTACAATATTATTATAAGTTTACTTAAATTATTTTATTCATTTTTTTCTAATTTTGTATTTTTACATTTAATTTTGCTCATTTGAACAAATGTGTTGTATGTGTTTGATATATTATATGATTTCATTTAATGAATATTAATATAATTGTAGGAAAAAAATACCTTGTAAAATACAGTAGCATTCGAGCAATTTGAAAAATTCATTGCACTTTTTATATATATTGTATAATTCATTTTAGAAGTGTCAATAAACTATTATTTTTGTTTTACTTATATATTTTGAAAATATTTTATTAACAAATACGACTTATTGGTAAACTAATAGGTTGGTAACTGTAACTGAGTCAACTGATATAATAGTTTTATAATATAATAGACTAGACCCGTTCAAATATTTTACCGACAACCGAAAAATAAGTTATTTTAAACGGATACCTAGATACTGATTTAATTCATAATAATAATAATAGATCTATATATTATCATATGCCTCAAAACCAAGTCCTGTCAGTCCTGCCGTACCTAAATAGGTAATTTTTATTGTAACTATAATAATAATCAACTTCTGAGTTAAGTACCCACTGGTTTTTTTAATTTTTGGGTCTATAGTACCTACCTAATTTATCTAATTATACTTAGTAGTTAGTATAGGGGGAGAATAGGTACCTATTAAATATCAAGTTTAAAATATAATAAATGGATACAACATGCATCTATACATTTTATACTTCGAGTGGAGTGTGAAAATAATGCTTAGAAAATAGAAAATAGTTATATAAGTATTTGGTGAACATTTGCACCAATTTGTATTTAGATATTTTTAAATTTTAGATTGTCAATAACTTTGAACCCGATTCCCGCCTAAGCAAACTTTGAAAGTATAAAGTACCTATATACGTATAAGGTATACCTATAGTTTGACATTGATTATTTTTCTGGGAACAAAGATTAGGTACCTACGTGTAACCTATTGCCTTGGCGCATAGTCTATTGTAAATTGAAAATCGAATATATGTACAAGAGAGATCTTGTCTACTTTTAAGAAGTAATGGCAATTTGCAATTGTTAGAATAGTTTACTTATACTCGACGAAAAACTATATTACCTTATTAACTACAACCATCGAATTTACCTACTATATATATGTTAAAAAATTAGTAAATGTTGTATTACACAAGTTTTTAGAATTCGATCACTACTGATTAACAATGCTTTGAAAATGATAATAAATTGTAATAATAATAACAAGCTTTAGCTACCTATATACTTAAATCAAGTAATTTGAATGTAATACAACGAAATAAGTACCTACTTATTCAACATGTGTTATATTTAACTTATAAAGATACATCCATTTTTTAAATGTATTATCTAAATCTAATACAATTATACAAAACATAAAAGTGTCCACAAGTTACGAATAATTATTACGGATCTGAAGATCGATTCATTATCGCACTTGTTAAGGGGTTCGATATAGGCAATTTATTGTCCTCTCGTTTCTATGCGTATTATTATGTAAATTGTATATAGTAAGCGATCATACATATAGTGTGTGCGACTGTTGTAATGTAAAAATAATAGTGAAGACCTCTCGCACATGTCAATACCACGCTATGTCGCTATAAGAGTATTAATATTTTGTCTTAAAGTATCAATCTATTACTAATAAATTAAATTAAATTATTAACCTATTTATCCGATAAAATGTTTGAAAATTACTTGGAAACAACATTCTTACATTTTAAAATTCTTAGCAGGTAGTAGTATTTAATATTTAAAAATCTAATTTCGAAGAGTTAGGTGTTAAATTTAAAAAAAAAGTGGGAATGTAGTTTTCATGAAAATGTAGGTATTTAAGTCATGACAAACTCAAATATTGTTATGTTTTCAGATGTTTAATCTGATATTCTGATTAGCCAGTAGGTCAGTAGGCTAGTCGGTAAAATTGTACATAGAGCTATTTATGACATTTTGGTTTATTTGAATACATAATAGTATTATACTCCATACATGTTGTTTTTTTAATTTAAAAAGACGCCGGTACTCTATCCATGCATTTGTTTTCTCGGTCTTACATATATACGACTATACGAGTGATATGACATACCAAATTTCCGTTCACCAGTTTCAATCAACTACTAAATTTGATATTAGAGATATCAAACTTCTACATTTTCTGTGCTTAAGCGTCTGCTTTTATTTGATGTTTTAATTTTCAAGCGATATACCAAGGAGCATTTTTAATTTGTGAATTGTGATATTTCACATACATTTCATATATTATACAATACACATATATTATACAATACACATATATAATTTCATTTTTTGGTTGAAAATTAAAATATCGAAAAAATTGCTTAAGCACAAATAATATTTTTACCTAAAAGTTTGAAAGTAGATTAATACACTTTAATATTAAGATTAACAGCACACATTGAAGTCATTGAACGAACATTTGACATGTCGTATGTTTGTAAAACGGAGACAACAAACACAAGTGTAGAGTTCTCTCAAGTTAAAGTTCTATTTATTTCAACATAATATATTCAATCTTAAATTTTCAATAGATGTGTAGCCTACATATTTGATACCAACATTTAAAATGTCCAAAGGATGGCATATTGGTATCAGCAAAGTAGCTAAAAATTAAATTAAAAATAATTTTTTTTTAACTTTTCAACTTTATTAATTAGTTAACCTCTAATTAACTAGATTAAGTATTTATTGTAACAGCTAACCTTTTTCAGTCAAATTATTGTAGATAAGTATGTTAAGCGTTTTTTTTTTTTAACTGTCCAACCTTTAAAAATATTAATATCATTGTAACTATACTAACTTGTTAACAATATTTTACCATTAAAAGTAAAGCGATGACAATTCTCTATTCTATTCAAACATTATTTATGTATTATTGGTGCATAATATTATACATTCGTTATACCTTATAGAATATTATGAACTACTGAGTCTATGTTATGTATATTCTATAATAGTTAAGCAATTTTTGGTATTATTTTATAGTGTTAATTAATTTATAAATTATTCATTAATTGAGCTAACATTTATTGTTCCTAACTAACACTTATATGGTCATACATAAGTTATAAATTATAAATATAAATAATAATGATAAAATTACAAACTTAATAATAAATTGGGTGCAATAAATCAAAATGAAAAAAAAGTCGGTCATCACCACAAGATAGTTAAAGAAATTAAAACAATTATAATACAATTCATAAATTAATAAATAGACGATAATGATTTCTATACATCTAAATCTTCAAAAGAAAGTAGATTATTTATCTATGTTAGCAGTTAGGATTAAAAAAGTAAAAAATAACAATAAAGACAAAAACATTTTTTACGTTTTCGATAATATGATAATATGATAAGTAATTAGAAGTTATGAAATGTATGTGGGTATCATATCTTAAATAGCTAAATATTTTTCTGTATTATAATATAATTGTTGAAAAATGCTAAGATTATTACTTTTATTTTAATCAATGTAAAAAATATCCAAACTTTAAAATCATTTGAAAATAGTATCACAATTTCGTATTAAAAATAACTATAAGAAAATGTTACATTTTGTACAGATTTATCGTAAGAATAACTTTGACAAGAATTTAATATAGACTTTGTATCTATGATTTAAATGTTAACAAACAATTATATTATAATTCTAAATAATAAGACATTTTCAAACATTACTAAAATGCTATTTATTTTAATTGTATTCTCATTAAGTCATAAATGAGTTTATAGTTATTAATTATACATGATTTATTTTCAATTATAAATTTTGATTTATTCAGTTGAAGAACAAATGTAAAGTCTAGTTTCCGAAGAAATATGTTTTGATAGGGAATACAATTATTGCAAACTAGTACATTTATTCACTAACTACTAATGCAAACCAACATTTTATTTTGCTTACAAATTACTTATGAGTTATGAAATTAATAGTCACTTGGGTGAGATGTGAGTTCAGTTTATTAACACTTAAATGTATAAAAAAAAAAAATCAAATTTGGCACGCGAGTTAAATTATACTTTTCAACGCCTGAAATAAATGTTTTGGGTCTCAAGAGTAATTATATCTGTCAAAACGAAATTTTTTTTATTTTATTGGCTTTAGAATTGTTTACTCTTGAATGTCCAAAAATTACCAGTTTAACTAACACTTTAAACACATTTAGAATTGCAGCTAAGAATTTATCACTAATAATATTATAATTAACTATCATTAACAATATTCAATTAATTTGATATCAAACAATTATAATTATAATCTATTTAATGTATTACAATTTAAGTTATAATATGATTCTTATTTCATTAAAATTGAGTATAAAACAATAAAAGTGAACAATAGTTCTAGGACCATACCAAGGGACAATGTATAGGAGAGTAAACATAAATATGACACCCTTAATTCAATAAACGCCCTTCTTAGTCTACTTACTAGTCAAAAATATCAAAACATTGTTCTTGCAAATTGCATAGAAAATAATAACAAAAGTATTTTACATTATTGACTCAAGGTTTAGCCAACATTTTCAAACCATTTGATTTATGATTTATGTTATTAAAATAAACTATCAGAAGTACTACCTCAATATTACATAAAAGATTGTATTTGTACTTATTATCATAAATTCGTAGTTGGATTTTTTAATTTTTTCTTATTTAAATTTTTAAAAACTAATGGGTTTAAGCCAGCATATAGGGTTCTCTTTTTTTTCTTTGGTTTTTTATTAACTATTGTTTCAACTTTTTCTTCGGTTTTTGATGTTTTTTCAATGGTTTTATTTAGTGTTGAAGTTTGTAGCAATTCTTCAGTAGGTTTTTGATTTAATATTTTATTCTTCTTGTACACTGAACTGGTCGTATTCAAACACACTAAGCATTTCATTACCTAAAGCAAATATTAATAAATCAATATGTTATTAGTCCAATTAATCATATTTATTAACATTTACCATTTTAAATAACATTGTAGAACGCTTTTTTTGTATTTTATTATTTTCTCGATTTGGAAAAGTTTTCACAACAAAATTGCCATGCTTCCAAGGAGTTAAGCAGTGTTCGCAATAGTTTCCTGTGTTTGTAAATTTGTTTTCATCTATTAGACTGCTTTGTTTGTGCTGAGAACATCTACAAAAAAAAAAATGTCATAATATTAAACTCATATAAATAAGGAGTAAAACCATTGAATATGTACCAATGTATGTTTGAACAGTTAATTAGTTATTGTTAAGTATATACAAATAAAAAGAGGCTGAATATTTACTGCTTATATAAAATATTTAATTTGAAAATTAACATTTCAATAACTTACATAGTTATATTTATATTATATATAATATACATAATATATATTTATGAATTAAAATTTATTAAAAAAAATTATAAATTATAAATATAAGTTGAATTATTTATTTTATTTTTCTTCTCTATTTATTATAGATAAGATATAGTATGAATACTTTCTACATGATACAATCATGATTCACAAGCATTGAGCACTGCGGTGCTTAAGCATCATAACAAATATATAAAGAACAAATAAATAGTTCATATTATATATTAAGTATAAGTACGTTTAGAAAATTCTAAGAAATAAAATAATATATGGTTATTGCCCAGATATTTTCTTTTTTTCGTGTGACTTCTTATACATATTTTATTAAACAGTTTTTTCTCTTATAAAAAATATATATTTATGATAAATATATATAGTACTATGGTAGGTATATCTCTGTCTATCATAATGTATGTTAGCTCCAAAATAATTAATTTGTACTTGTTGTTTATTATTTATGTATTATTTTGCTGTAACATAACATGATAATATGAAAGAAGTTGTATGTTACTTATATTTTGTACATCAAATAAAATAATTATTTATTTAATTATAATTCTGATCTATAAATTCATTTTTAACTTGTATAGAACTGAAAATCGAAGAAATAGTTTATCAATATCTAAGATAATACATAAATGTGACAACGCTGGAGACATCTTTTGTTACTGGTTTGTTATATCCCTACCCAAGCATGTGAAAATTTTAAAGCCAGGTTTTTTTATCTCCCAGCCATTGATTATAATTAATATATAGGATAAAAATGTACCAAAAATAATAATAGCAATAACAAATAGTACTTATATGAGTTAAAATATTAAATATTTTAATATGTATAGTAAAAGTACAAATATAATTATAAACGGTGATGATAAATCATATTTTTTAATTTGCATAATAATAATAATATACATTGAAAAAAAGAGATATTATGATATATTAATATAAATTAAAGTTTACCGCATTTATATTAGGCACCTGTGGTTAACAAATCTTTAAAATTCATTTTAATAATATTATAAATAATATAAATCTGTAAATTGTAATAATAATGAACAAAAACGTACTAAAACCCATCACTGATTGATAGCAGTTTTTCATATATAATTCTATGATAATATAAAATAATACTTTTGCAACACCAAATGTTTTATAAATTAAAATTTGTATGTTTTTATAAAGATATGCGTTATGCTATTTTTTATCATATTATTAAAAAATTAATACCTATTTGTTCCATGATAGACATATCTGTTAAATATTATTTATATTCAGTTCAATTAGTTTTAGCTTAAGGGTGTTGATTCCAGTTTTTCCAATTTTTGCAATCCTATAAAATGTTAAAATTATATTTTTTATCTTTGCTGTTACCTTATTTATAAAACTTTTCTACTAATCTACTGCCTGATACTTATTTTAGGGAAGGAGAGGTTGATAAGGTGTTTTATCTACAAAAATTATCTCATATGAAAAACTTCCACACCTCACTAATATGTTGAATTTTAGTAATTTTTCAAGTTTGTGACACCAAAAATGTGAACCAAATTAAGCAGTTTCTTATAATTATTAAAATTGTGCAAATACAAAAATGAACTATCCACAAAATATTAGGCAATAAAAACAATTGAGATTTTTAAATGTAATAAACATATTATTGAAGTATGAACATCATATTTTTAAAACTGATTAATAGTGATTCCAATATATTTTACAGAGTTTATAAGCTAAGAAGATAAAATAACAATTGTACATAAAGTTATCAACTATAATTATATTTAGACAATTTGTACTATGAACTTTATTTGAAAATTATTGATTTTAGAAATTAAAAAGATGAACAACATATTTTATTGTATTTTATTTCAAGAGAGTTAATATTAAAAAATAATTGACACTAGCCTTAATTTTACTAGATGAAAAGATTAATTTCGATTTTCAAAATTAGGTATTATGAATGGTATCATCTGCAATACAAAATATTAAGCCTTTGGGTTCCATAATTAACAAATCATTAAAATTATATATAATAAAAAGTAGAAGTGTCATATCTAAGACTTTAATATTTTCTAAAAGTATTGTTCATCGTATTGTGTACATTGACAAAAAACTTCTAGTAAAATTATTTTCAATTGCGTGTATGAAATATTAATCCAATTGAAAAATCAATAGAATATTATGATCTATACAGTCAAATGCTCTTATGACATCAAGAAAAATTCTAAATAACAAATTAAATAAATTAAATTTGTCATGAATACATCTAACTGCTGTTTGTAGCTGTTTCAATCCCTATATCATATTGAGTATGTAAGACTTGAAATAATCCAATTCTTAATATTTTTTTTTTCAGTAAAGTAAATGTATAAAGCTTTATTATGAAATCTATAGTACAAATTGATTTATTAATATCAATATTTAAATCATTTAAATTTTAAACAATCGACACTTGTGTCTTCTCTATAAATTTGTTAATTATTTTGTTCAATTTTTAAATTCGAACGGTCTAAAGTAAGTATTGATTTCACAATAAAATGTTTTTATGTATTTTTTTTTTTATCATTCCAAAAAGTAAGACTAAAAATCACTTTCCATCTTATACAATGAATTGTCATCAAATTCAAATTGAGCACATCCCTTATAGTACATACTCAATATTGTCATAAATGATAATGATTTATGAAATACAATAATCAATATTAATTTTAATACCATTCGGCGAGTTACAAATATTGATCATAAAAATAGTAGGTACAAAGCCAAAACAATTATGTAAGTTTTTGTGTAAGCCTACACATAATTCAATTTCACTTGACATAATTGATGCTTGGACAGTATTACTTTGGTAATATTAAAATTAAAATAACAATAACCAATAATGCAATTAGAATGAGCATTCAACACTCCACATTAAAAATAATAAACTAGTATAGAATACTATAGTATACAAAGTGCCAGATCTAGGGGGAGGAGAAGTAGGTAGGTACCCTTGTTTATGAAAAATAAAAAAAGTCATGAACATAAATTATAACATATTTCCAAAAAATAATGATAGGTATTACACAGTAATTCGTTATTTAACACGTTGAATACTAATGTCAACAAGTAGTTAGCACGAGTGACTGGGCACCAATGGCCGATGTCAATGTGTTGTTGAGGTACAGTTTATTATTCTCGATATTATTGGAGGACTATAGCAGATTTGAGTCTTCCGTAATTTCTAGCAAAATAAAAAAATTAGACACTTGTGGAAATAGAGTTTTTATGAAAATTGTTTGTTTTTTCCATAAGATGTTTATTTTAGTGTTTTATTTAAAAACGACTTGCTCCTAAAATAAATGTTTTGTTCAAAATCACTTTCTTTAAATTTAAAAATATACTATAAACATTTTAAGAAGAAAACTTTTGACATCAGAAATTGATTTATTATTTTTTACCTATTTTTTGTATCATTTATAAATTATAAAAAACAAAAAAGAACTATCTTGAAAAATTAGAAAAATAGAAAAGGTCCGTTTGGAATTAAAACCCTCCAATTTGTTTTCAGGTTACAGATTACAATGATAAGCTAGTTTAACACCTTTCAAATTAAATCATATATTTTTATTTTAACTTAAACAATTTAATCAGGGTTGTAATATTTAAAACATTGAACTCTTGAGTTGATATTTCATTTTTTTTTGTTTTTTTGAAATGCTCTTGTAGTAATTGAGCTAACTTGGAACTTTGTTCACTGAGTATACCCACAATGTATAGACAATAGACAAAATAAAAGCAGATTACAATGTATTATTAAACACCGGGAACATTGTTTGTTCCAAATGTTTGTTATGTTGAAATTGTTTTGTGTATAACTAATAGCAATATGAAACTATGTTAAAGTTCAAATTAGTTATAACATTTCAAACTTTTAATTTGAGTTCAGTTCGCTCTAGTTTGGGTTTTTTTAAATTTAGTTTGACTTTTTAACTTAAACCGAATACCTAAGGTTTGGTTTGATTTTTCAAACTTCGAACATTACGACCCACCACTAATTGTCAGTAGAATAAGTGCTAACATTTTGCTAAAGTACTTATACTATAGATTTTTTTGTTTGGTTTTGAATTACAGGTTAATGATTAAACAAATGATATTATTAAACAGTTATCTAATTACAAATTTTCAGGTTGCTTTTATTAGTTGTACAAACTATTATTTTATTCAGACAATACTTACAAAATAGAAACTCTTAAGGGGGCCAATGCTCTTTGGTCGTTTTGCAGTTTACTCAACAATCTTAAATATTTGGAAACATAATCTGCAGTCACCATTGTTGAGTCCATAACGTCGGATTCGGTTCAATTATTTTTGTACATTAATGAAAGACGTGTCCTTTCAGCGCAATCGTTCAGATTACAAATTTTAAAAAAAGAAAGCCTACGATTCAAACCATATCAGTTATCCGACGATTACATTTATCATTACAACACACATCGATCGTCGTGTTATGATTGTTTGTTTTGTTTTCACGGCGAGTATTATCTATGATAAATCCATGAATGATTACAGAGTTACAACTGACCCTTAGCCACAGCCCATAGATAATAACGTATACATAGGTATTATTTATTATTTGCGGTTATAACTTTGCATATATGTTCTATACTTAATGCTTATAGCACAGAACAGTATTAACAACGATTATTAAATCCATGGCCATTTAAATTACATTATTTATAATTTATGCCCATGATTAAATCGAATACCTATTAATTATTATAATTTATTATAATTTTCGTTTTTTTCCCCTTATACCGTCATACCGATTAAATCGTACATTTCACCAAATTGTAATACGTACAGACTTCTTTTTAAGGAATGAAAATTTATTAGGATAATTATTGATTACTCTTTACGAAATAGCTTCTTTGTCGGCGCTGGCAATAATAAATAACAATATTCAATAACATCTCGACGTATCGTGTTCTATATTATAATATTATTATTATTCAATACGTCGTAGATGTCGGATAGATAAACACAACGTTGGTAACACGTCGGTGAATATTGTAAAAAATAATAATATAATATATTCAACAATATTATGCGATATGTCGTGAACGAAGCCGTAAGCATGTTTATCTTAATATGCATACGCGCGTAGATAACCGTGGTTGGTACTCGCTTGTGAAAGAAAAAAAAATATCAAAACAGACAAAAAACACGACGAATACAATTGTGTTCCTATTTTTTTCAATAGGTATTATTATTATTATTTCGTAAGTATTGTCCTCGGACCTCGACTGAAATTTTGTTTTCACTAGCGGTGACATTCGTCGTCGAGTGAGTGACGACAACGAACTGCGAAGTACAATTAATTTGCTGCTTAAACCCTAGCGCGAGCAGTCGACTAGTGCGCCCGTGACTGGCAACCGCTACATGGATATATTATTTCGAGCTCACTCAACGTCTGTTACCCAAGTCTCTTTTTTGCGTGTTTCACATACGCCATCGCCATCGCTGCACCATCACAGATTGGGCACCTAACGTTCGGACGCCGTCGTTTCGTATTCTTCGTGTGAGTAGATCGGCCATCTGATTTTGAGACCCGCAGTGGTATTACACACAGTTATGCTCTTTTTAGCCTTTATGATTAAAGATTTAATATAAAGTAATGACTATGATCTAGTAGAGTACCAAAATATTTGATTCTCGATCAGTGTAGGGGTCGAGGCTTTAATACCATGTCTCTTGATCAAACGATTCATTTAATGGTGAACTTAAATTCAATGTTTCAATTATGTTTAAGGGACTTCCGTTGGCTATTAGCACTATTGATTCATTTAATTTTTTGTTGCTGTTTATGCAACCTGGCATCGTGATATTGTTTTATATTTATTATTTTATTTATCGTATTTTCAACAGCCTTGAGCTAAAGAAAATTGTCTTCGCCATCTATTATTAAATACCCATTTTGATCATTATGTTTGCTTTTGAAATCAAGTCAACGAATTTTAATAAATATTTTGAATTCATGTTTTCACAATGTGTATACTTCTTGGAACGATAATGTTTCAATCATTCCATTATACCTACACACACCTATATTGAATATTCTGTATAATTTGCTACTAATAATTATTATTTTCCAATTATATTATAAATAGTAGGGATGGCCACATCCAACCATTCATAATAGAAAAAAAATAAAGAAAATGGAATTAATTGTCAATCTCTTTATTAATGCTTCATTACTGTGAAGTTGGCCTACAACACTACAACTCTCTGACAAAGCAAAAATATAATTGTCGTTTAGGCACTGTGCTTTGACAAAAATGATTAAACAAAATCCAAGTTAATAATAATAAACATAATAATATACAAATAATAAAGAATTTTATGTAATGAATAGTATTGAATAGCAATGAAGTAAAAGAGGCTTGTCCGATTGATTTTGACTTAAAAATTCCGTAACATAACATTGTTGAACATAGCATTTGAATATTATTTTAATATTTGCATGTAAAAATACAATGCCAACAATTATTTCATAGCATATAAAGTTAATAGTCTAGTATAATTTATACTAATTATAGTAATTAATGATAATTGGAATTTTATAAAAATTATAAATGTATACATTACAATATGATATTGTAGGTCCCATTATCTATAAGTTAACAGTATGATACACAATGCATTAATAACAGTTTATCATTATTCTTGACCTAAACATTATTGGAATCAATACTTAAAAGAATCTTCATATTCATATATGTATATATATATATATATGCATTTATATTGGTCAATTATTTTAATATTTCTTTTTTATTGCCATTGGCTTCAAAATCCATAATACTAAGTAATTTTGTATCATATTCATTATTAATAACCTTATAACAAATCAGAATACACATTCTAATTTATGGTAATTTTGTTTGTAATAACAGTTAGATCAACGTCCATAGTTTGTTACAATGTCCAAAATACATAACTTAATCTGCTATAAGAAAAATAATTCACACAAATCGGTACAGTATACATTGAAATATTTTTATTATACTAATATGTTAACACATTAATAATTTGTGAATATTCATCATAATAATTAGTTATGTTTCGTTTATTTATATTAAAGATGTCAGATGCTGAGGAAACATATGTTGGTGCTATTGATGAAGGAACTAGCAGTACACGTTTCTTGGTATGTACTAATTATAATGGTACAGTTAATGTTCTCAATAATTATTTCTTAGAGACTCATGAACTAACCTTTTTATTTGTTGACTAAATATTTATTAAAATAATATTTGGGAATTAAATAATTTACAAAATGTATAATACTATTATAGGTTTATTTACTAAAAAAAGAATCTTACATTTAACATTATTTTATATTTAATAGGTTTTTTCATCAAAAACTCACCACCCAGTAGCCAGTCATCAAATAAGTACTACTAACATAAGCTTGCATGAAGGATGGGTGGAACAAGATCCAGAGGATATACTAATGAAAGTCAAAGAAACTATAGCTGTAACATGCGAAAAACTCAAAATGATGAACATATCACCTTCAGCTATTGCTGCGATAGGCGTGACAAATCAACGAGAAACTACTTTAGTGTGGGACAAGTATACAGGGAAACCATTATACAATGCTATAAGTAAATACATTTCTATACCTAAGTAAACTGTAATAGTTATATAACATTTTAATTTTATATTCCTAATATCTAAATTTTAAATAACTTCTATTGTATAGTATGGATGGATTTGAGGACACAATCAATAGTTGATAGATTCATCAACAAACGAATTCCTAACTGTCATACATTGGACGAAAAGAAAAGGTGAGTTAATATTTAAATGGAACAGTATACATTGTACTGTAGTAAATACTTAAGGTTAATAGTATTGGTTTTGAAACTTCTAACTTGATTTAAAATTTATTTACTCAATATTTATACGCTGTTCTGTTGAAATAAGTTTCTACATAAATTGGTTTAATATACTTAACACTTCTTCCAAAACTGTAATCTATCTGAACTTACTGTTCTTCACTTTTACTTTACATTTTAAGATACTATCAGATAACATCATAACAAAAGTACATATATTTTTCTATAATTTTATCATAGTTATATTATCATGTGCTAATACTAATATTTGTTTGTTTTTTTTTGGAAATTATTTGATAGGCATTTACAATTCAAAAGCGGTTTAACGATGAATCCATACTTCAGTGTTTTCAAATTGGTTTGGTTAATGGAAAACGTACCTGAAGTTTCAAAAGCCATTCAAGAAGAGAGGTGTATGTTTGGCACAATGGATTCATGGCTAATTTGGGTATTAACTAATAACCTAAGTATACTGTTAATAAAACATTATTAAAAATAAATCTAATACATTGTTAACGTGATTAGAAATACATTTAGATTCTATTATTTTGTTAAAAATTTAAAAAAACTTTTTTTTAAGACAGACTATTACATAAAGTTATTCTATTGAATGTTTGACAAGCAAATATTCCATCTAAGAATCTAACATACTATAGTGTTAATATATGTATTTATTTAATGAGTAGGGGTTTAACTTTTATACACTAAGAATCATACAAAATTTTCTTAAAAACATTCATGCACCAAAAATGTGGTAAAATATACTCGTAAATCGTGTTTTAAAATATATTGATATACTAGGTATAACATGAAAACCTGACAAATTAAAAAACATTTGTTCTAATTAATATTTTTTTCTTTATGCATAACTTAATGTCTAACATAATATAACATTTTTTTATTTTTTACACCGAAATAATTTGAAATAGCTAATTTGTAAATCTAGAGTTTAGAAAACTATTAATTTTAATAACATTTATTTAGTTCAATAGTCTATAAATAATACATTTAAAAAAATTTAAATATTGATTAAACAAAAGTTATTTCATTTGCCAGGTATTATTAAAAGTTACAACAAAATGTATTTAATAATTTATTATTGAATAGTGAATACCTAATTATAATACATTATAACACATAATTTCTGAGAAAAAAACATAAAAACTATAGTGAAATGCAGAAAAAATAATATTATATGTCTTTGTAAAAGTATAGTATTTTTTGCTCAAAATTGTGTGTGAAGTTGTTATGTAATAGGTTACAAAATACTACAAATGTCATAAAAAGCACATAAATAACATTAAAATTGTAAAATTTGCTCTAAAAACTATAAAATATTGTAATATGCCTTAAAAGAATTAATAATTTAAATCATATTTTAATCAAACTTATCTTGGGCTTAGTATACAATAGAATCAACTAATAAAAGCATTAAAGTTCTTACAAATCCAAGCCCTATTCATGAGTTTTGCCTCCTGTTTATGTTACTTGCTACAATTAAACCACAAGAACAAATTGTTGATATTGGTGTAGTAAAAAAAACTTGCAAAGTTATTATTTACTATGAATTACTACTAGATATTCTAAACACTGAATAGTTCAAAATTACATGAGATAAACATAAAACTGACTAACTTAATACAATTTGGTATATGACTCCACAGTCCACATACTTCTCTCTCTATGATTAAACTGAGTTCCTGAGTAGAATTAAATATACCTAGTGATAAACAAGGACGTCTGTGTTGTTTAACTGTGTGCTTAACAATTCAAAGTAATCATTATTAAAACTTTCCGTGTCTTATATTATTGCTCGCAATATGGCTAATAGCATATTCTCGTGCATAATTTTATGTAATATTATGTGTATATTTACTGGATCCTTATTCTCCATACAAAATGCATAAGTAATAAACAGCATAATACTTATAATAATTTCAGACATAATGTTCATAAATATTTTATTTACAAACCCAATATTAACAAAAACCCAATGTTATTCAACTTATACTGTTATTTTGGTTCCACTATAGAATTGTGTTGTGAAAAATCATTATTAAATATATTAACCACAATCTTAGAAAATACAACTAATTGTGCTGAATGCGACTTTCTTAAGTTGAATTGTAACTACTAAGTGGAATTTACTTTCTGTTTTTAGAATCTAACAGGCGGTATAAATGGTGGAGTTCATATAACTGATGTCACTAATGCTTCTCGGACCATGCTGATGAATATTCACTCATTAAGATGGGATAAGGCATTGATTGAGTATGTATATTTTTCAATAGTCGTAAGTTCTTATGGACTGTGATTAGTAATACTATCTTAGTATTATGTAAATTGCATTTTGTACATTTATGCTCACAAAAATATATAGGTACAATGTTTTGATTATAAAGAGAATAACATTTGTTTATTTTATTTATTTATTTATATATATTTTTACGGGTCTAGCCCTTTGGACTATTTTAAACTATTTTTTCAACTTGAGTCTTTTTTGAACATTTTAATAGGCTAATTTTCTTATATTTTCCTAAAGCTGCTTTAAACTAAATAATTTAGTCATGAAAATACTAAACCTTAATTATTTAAAATTATGAATTAGATTTCTCCTTCCTCCTAAACAATTACTGTTAACTATACAAGTCAAAAAAAGTATTAACATGAAGATATATTAGGTTATTGCTATAAGTAATCTAACTTTTTTGAACATTGTTATAATAATTTATTTAAATTTTGTTTCAGTTTTTTTGAGATACCCAGCAAATTATTATACCCAGAAATACGGAGCTGTTCGGAGGTTTATGGCCGTATGACTGACGGACCACTATCAGAAACACCAATATCTGGAGTAATAAAAAAATTATTTGTGATTTTAATAATCATACTACCTTCTCTAGAGATTCTCAAATTTTTATCATTTGTACTATTAATATATTGTTATAGTGCATAGGTGATCAGCAAGCAGCACTTATGGGTCAGATGTGCTTCTTGGCGGGTCAAGCCAAGTGTACATTCGGTACTGGGTGTTTTTTGTTGTACAACACTGGTCGTAAGGTAAGCATGAATTGTTTTATTTTTAAGTTCAAAATAAAAATGCTGGATAGCATTTACTTTATCTATAATAATGTTGGTATTTTATTGAAAATTATGATTGATTACTAAAAAACAATTCTGGTAATTCTAAAAATTATTAATAATTCTTGTGTACCTATATAAAGAAAAATATAAAAATACTAGACTAAATTTCTACCCTACCACATAAAACTACTCAAAATATTTAGAATTTGTACAACTAATTCATTTTTTATTCAATCAAATTTTTATTTAAAAAATGATCTATTTTCTTTTATTCAGCCAGTGATTTCTACTCACGGCCTTTTAACTACTGTGGCTTACAAAATGGGCAAACACACCGATCCTATTTATGCGCTTGAAGGATCAGTGGCTGTAGCTGGATCTGCTACTAAGTGGTTGAAAGATAATTTGTGTATCGTGGATAGTTACAAGAGCATGGAGGTAATGGCCGATAGTGTTGAAGACACAAATGGAATTCATTTCGTCCCTGCTTTTTCCGGACTTTATGCACCATACTGGAAAAGTGACGCACGAGGGTTAGTAGCATTACAACAACAGATCTTTAATTGGTTTTTGTGGTACTGTTGAATTCATATTTTGTTTTATTTGAACAATTCTGTTTGATCTACATATTGATTTTTTCCGTGTGAAGAAAGGCAATAGACAATAAATTGCTATTAAAAAAAATTACTCTTACTACTCTGTAAGGATTTAAATGTTATTTTAGTGTCTGAATTTGTATTTTAAGAGTAAAAAGTAGATTAATAAACCAGATTTAACCTTCTATATTATACAGTACTATCACAGGGTTGACTATGGAGACAACAGATGCACATTTAATGCGAGCAACTCTTGAAGGAATCTGTTTCCAGACAAAAGATGTTATACAGTCTATGCAGTCAGACACTGGCCATCCTATTACGGCATTGAATGTAGATGGTGGCATGTCTACTAGTGATACATTTTTGAGAATTCTCACAAATGTTTGTTGTCTTCCTGTCGGTAAGTTATTCTAATCACTAATATTTTACATCATATGTAAGCTAAAATCTCCTTCACATTAACCTTATAAAAAAAAGGTATTTAGGTACCCAAACTATAACAAAATTAATAATCATAATTTTATGTGTGTATTCATTTGTTTCAAGTTTTAGTAATTTGAGCTATATACACAATCGATAGAATTAATATATAATCATAATTTTGTAATATTATTATTATCAACGATTAGTAATTAGATCTCATAAGTTGTAGAAGTTGCATATTTCTTATGTCCTCTCAATTTATAATAGATAAGCTTGAAATTAATTTTATACAAATCTGTCAATGAAGAATCAAAAAATAAAATGCAAATTTTGATAAGTTAGTTCATTCTAGAATAAAACTAAAAAGTGCATTTTAAATTTTTTCTAAAAAAAATGGATATGTTTATTTTCTGATATAAATATTTTAGTATACATCTTCACAAATATTAAAAATATAGTTTTATTTATACTATCTGCTGATAATATATTTTCAGTTAAATAATTAACATTCCAACAGCAACCTGAAGTTTTCTACTCATCACTTTATATCTCTTTTATACTATGAAATAATTTTTAATTAAGTAATGCGCAAGTATTGTTACAATACAACTCATCATAATCAATAATTAATTTGAAAAAATAAATATTGGATACCTAACATTTTTTAGATTATTTGTGAATATTCAGTATTTAAGTCCTATTTTAGTTCTTATGTATAACTACCTAACCCAACTAATATTAATTTTTGTCCTTTAAAATAGTGCGCCCTATAATGGTGGAAACTACGGCTCTAGGCGCTGCTCTAGCAGCTGGTTTTGCTATTGGTGTATGGAGTATGCACAGTGTTAAATCTAACTGTGACACATTTATTCAGACTTTATCAGAGGAAGGCAAGTCAAATAATTAATTAATAATATTAATAAAGAAAACCAGTTTATTAATCTTAAATATTTTCTGTTCTAGAACAAAAATCAGAGTATGTTTTGTGGAAAAAAGCGATAGACCGGAGTATAGGTTGGAACAAAGATGATGAAGAAAATGAATACGATGACTTTGTTGGGTTTTAGCCATTTAGAATAAATCAAAAGCTGAGTTATAAAATTTGTTTGTGAATTTTTAATACTATTGTGTTCAAATTAAAAGTTAATTGTATAGTGCTTTAGCACATTTATGTTTTCTAATAAAATGTTTAAAAACGTACAGCTCTAAGTACAAAAATAAAAATATTTTATTTAAAATATGAATGTATTCTTTGTTATTTCTGAAAAACAGAATATTATCAGTTTAATGTACCATTTATGTTGGCAAACTTCTTTTGAGTAAATTCTCAATATTTTGTTATTAGTTTTAGAAAAAAATTCATGTGCCAATAATGTTATGCTCGAATTTATAATTCTTTTTTTCCAGAAAATCAGGGTCTTTTAAAACCAAATGCTCAAATATTAAGTATGTATTCAAAAACATTGTAATACAATATCCTTATTAAATGCCAATAAATAGAACTGAACTTCAACACTTATTACATTTAATAGAAATTCTATTCTATTTTCTTAATAGTATTTTTTTACATAGCATGAGTACTTTTAATAAAAAACAAGCAACATTAACTTCATCTTTAAATGCATGCCACCGTTATGCAAATCTAAATCTTATCTTTCTTCACTATTGTTGAAGCAAATATTTAAATTATGGAATTAGCTATTTTTATTTCATAGTACAAAATATGTAATATTCATATTGAACCTTTTATAATCAATAACTATCACTTAGAAATAATAATTATTTTTCATCAAATACAAGATACAGTAATAAAAATAATTTTTTTTCGCGCCATAAAAATATGTCTAACATTCACCATCTTAATTCAGGTGACTATGTGATTACCCAAATAATAGTTTTTACTTATTAATAATAATCTATAGACTAACATCTAAATATATGAAAATATATGTATATAGATGTTAAATACTTTTTTCATTTTATAAACAAATTTATTAATTTTATAATGCCATAGTTAAAATGATAGGCAATTAATTTTTAAACATTTTTAAACAGTTTAAACATAACTCTTTGGTCTACCTTGTAGTATTATACTTTCATATACCAAACAATTATATAATTAAATGTGAAACAAAAAAATAATTATTATACTTAATATAATATCCTTATGGATATAAAATAAATTAACATAAACATACTAGAAACTTGTGAAATTTTTGTAAAATAATCATATTATTATTATGTTAGCAATTTATAGATTAGATGTAATACTTAAGTATAGGTATAATTTAAATCTGTTAGTCGATATCTGAAATATCATCTGGTGATGTCTTCATTTTCTTATGTATATGTTCTACACTCAAATAACTGTCTGGCGTACTCAAATCACTGTCTTCCTGTCCATTAGATGGCTCATGATCGTCATCAGAAGTCTCTTCATTCATCATTTCCTGTACGAAACATAAAAAGAAGACATGACAATAATAATTATAACTAATATAAAGGTTAAATGTTTTAAAAATGAAATAAAGAAAAGCTATTTCATTAACATTTCACAGTAACCAAATTTTATCATAAGATTACTGAACAATTTGTGCCTGGGAATCTTGAGCATAACGTACATTTAGGAAAACTATATTAATCAAACGAAATCACATAACATCTATTTGGAATTCTAAAAATAACCAGAATTACACCACAGCAGGTAAATATTGTAATAATAGCTACCATTGCACTAAAAAAAATACTCGATTTTTATAGATACCCATCAAAATTTAAAAAGTAATAGCTACAAGATAATTTTTAATTTGTAAATATTAGAATTAGATATTTGGTCTATGGAAGTTATTAGCCAAAGGGTGTTTAGTCTCCAATGTATTGATTGTAAGATTTTAGGTCTCATGGTTTCATAAATCGTTATTTTTTACTATATCTTAAGTAATATTTAAATATTGAAACATTATTATTTCTTGATCAATCAGGTATTTTATTTTTTATTTTAAACAAAAATAACAATAATTCCAATCTTATTACCAGGTTTTCAGATAGAGTAGTGTATCAAAACGGAAGAGAAAAAAGTACAAACAGTCAATTTATGCCAGAGACTAAACTTTCTATGGCTAATAATTGAATTCTTGGGAGCAACAACTAGGCATCTTTAATTTATACAATTTTTTAAGAAGAACTAAAACCTATTCTATAAATTAACAAAAACGGTCCTAAAAATAAACTTTAATTATAATATTCAAACTACATTTTTATGCTTATGATTGAAATCAATATAAAATGATATACTCATTTACAATTTATAATATAATCAATACATAAAATGGTTTTATTTATGTTACATCGTTTGTAATACTAATAGGTTTTATAATTTATAGTGAAATATTATTTTAAAAAACTTATATTTTAAAATAAACAATTAATGAGTTAATTTAATTGAACATTTTTCTGATCATTCATATACTATTAAAATAACTAATTTATTTTTTAAAAAAATCAGCAACCTTCATTAATAATAGACTTCAAACATAATTTTTTTATATAACTTTAACACCCTTATAATCGATACATCATTAGTTGCGAAACAAACCACCTGTTTACCTGATAATATTTTAGTTTTAAAATACCATGAAAAATTCTTTACCTTAAGGGTGTTGACAAGATCAGTAGTGTTATCAATCAATACCTCCAAAGACAAATTTTCTTCTTCTAAAGCAATTGCTGTTGCTTGTAATCGTTGCTGTTCTTCCAATGCCTCTGATAAAGCTTTTCTTCGACGTTCGGAGAGCACTTGCCAATATTTTTCACTCGGGCCATCTATGAAATATACAGGCATATAAATATTTAAAGTTGATCTGATTGTACTGGATGTTAGTAAATACTTACCTGAAGAAGTAAGATCTTCAGTTAACAATTTCATGTACAACGATGAAACAACAGAAGGAGTTTCTGTAGCGAGTGCTTCGGTCTCGTTGAATGTCTGTTCAGGTTTGCCGTTGATCCTGAACAAAAAAAAAATATGGAAATAGATTTCATGCATAAACAATACACTGTTGGCAAAACACCCACGCCATGTCCCGCTGTGTCCTGCCACCACCCACCAAACTTTCCTTGGCGGTGCTTGATGGTTGCAGATTGTGCAAAAACTTCCTCATGCCTTTCTTTGACACCTGAAAATACACAACAAAATATTATTAAAAGTTTATTTTCGTGCAGACACTCACTATTTCAACGCCGGCCGGAGCCCGGAACTCACTTTATTATTATTGGTTTCGTCGCTCGAAACAGTTAGCTTTGTTTTTAAAATTAGCGACTTTGTATAAGTGAAGCGGTTTTCAATGCGTTTTAACGAGCGATTGAACGTTTGAGGGAGCGTCTGATGTATATGATGTAAATAAAAAGGTTATGTTTAGTTAGTTAGGTAAACAGTCCATACTCTTAAAATATCGAACAAAACTATCAACATCCTTCTTTATTGCTTTTAATTTAATATTATTTGACAATGAATTGTTTGTAACTGTCGGCCGGTCTGTATAGTACGTGATACGGATGGCGATGGTACACTCGTTCCAACGTACACCTGGTCAATGAAATTAGATAACAGATACAAATAATATAAAGATAATACCTATCTGTGATAATATTATTATGATATAATTTATTTCATTGAAAAAAAACCAAATATTTGAAATATTATTGGTCTATTATTTAGTTCATTAGTTGTTAAGTCGTACGAAAAAAAAATATAGAAAATGATTGATAAACTTTGATCAGTTCAGTCAATCGGACTACGGAATTTCGAATAGTCGAGTTAAGTTCAAACTCATTGTTATTTGACCGTAAAAAAACGCAAAGGCCACCCATGTCCTGAACGTACATTCGGAAAATTGATGTGGGTAGTAGGACTTGGTGTTCCTTTTCACTCTATATTTCCATAATAATTTATTATATCGGCTTAATTCGTAATTGCCGTAATTCCATACTGACGACTACTCATCAAAGACAAAAAATAATCACATTAATATTTGTGATTGGCGTAATTCACTATTTTATTAACTCCAACATTTGTTGCATTAATTACTTTTCAAGGGAAATAATAGACGTTTCATTTATATTTTGTATTTTTATCATTAACATTAATAAAATATTATTATTACTATTATTTTACATAGGTACGTACTCTTTACTTGCTCTGAAAATTTTATTAATATCATAACACAACAATGAGATACCTACCTAACACAAATAATATTTATCACTTCAAGATTTATGAATGCACTATTATATATAATACTATATTATTAATTTACTATTATTATTTATTAAAGCTTTTTTAGCTTTTTTTTTTTGTAAAATATAACTGCCAAGTGCTGAGTACCAAATACAAATTTGGTAGCATTCGTCTTATTTTAATGGAATAAACTTCTGTTTGAAGTAATAATTATTAAACAATTACTACTTTTAGTGATCTATAAATTAAGATATAAAAACCTCATAGTCGAGTTTTTGGAGTTTGGGCAATTGAGATTTAGGCCATCTTAACATAACCCAGCCAGAAATATTTTACCTTATGGCTCCTCATTTAAAATGTGAGAATTGTAAGTCTTAACCATAATTCCATATGTTACAGAATTATATGCACACATTGACTGCATTTGCAATAAAAACAAACTTCTCAATTGATCTTAGCCTTAGGAGATTCATTTTTCACCATCTGATGAGATTTATAACTTCTATTGAAAAAACAATACGATATAGAAAGATGGAGAATGTATCAGAAACACAAGAAAACTGAAGTATGTACCTATGAATATAAAAAAATATATCATGCATAGGGGTATGTACAGGGGCAGCAGGGTGTGCAAGAGCTGCACCTGTACAGTTTGATTAGATTTGTTTGTTAGGGCTGATCAGTTCCAACTGTCTAAGCTGAACCACTGTAAAATACTCAATAAAAAAAAAGTTAATTATCCGAAAAGTGTATTGAGTTCAGAATTCAGACGTTTATCTTTTCTGTGTTAAATAGATTTATCTTTAATACAGACCACAGTATATTATAATTATTAACATTCATTGAAGACTTGTATGGTGCATATGGTGTATACGGTGTATTTAATATAATTGATCAAAAACTAAAATTAACTAGTTTCCATGTTCCATCTGTTATTTTTCGTTTAATTATAAATAATACCACAATATGTTTGATAATACATCATAACCATGCAATAAGTACTAAGAACACTAGAATATTAATTTCATTACCACCATTCCTCATGTCATGTCAAGAGCAATTGAATAAAAAATGAAAATATAAAAATGTTTACTGCCCCTGATTTGAAACTCTATGCATGACTATAGACTAATAGGCATAACAATCTAAATGATACTACTAAGAAATTTAGCATAGATAAATATATAAATCAATATATTTAATATAATTATATAATTTCACTGCATCTAAGGGAAATTCTCCATAGGCCTATGAATTTTAGTAAAATATGTGAAATATACCATTATTATAGGCAATTGTATTATTTGTTACAGATTTAGCTAGAGTTGTATATAATACTCCATACCACATGTTTGGGGAAACTTTTAAATTGCAACACCAACATACTTTTGTACAAAAAGAACACTATTCAATGAAATTTGGGTGTCAAGAGCTGAAAATTGTGGAATAATGATAGAAATAAATAATATTATTTATCGATTAGTCATTAATTCAAAAAGTTTGATTTTAGACTCAGGTAATAATGTAGGTATATGAGCAATTTAATAGTCTTATAAATGAATATATCGGTAGCTAGCAAATTAATTTATCATCTCAAAATGCTTACAATACCAATCTTTTTTGGTCATTACATTCAATTCTAATTAATATTTAAGAGCAATAATAAAATACATCACTACCTACCTACTTAAAATTCCGGCCTTTCTAGAAGAATAATAACAAATAATTAAACTATGTATGTATAATTACTAGATATTGTATGTTATAAATCATTTTAGGACAACTTGGAAAACAATTTTTGGGAGAAGCTAACAGAAAGAGACTAAATAATACAAAGAGGGTTGCATCATTTTCAACAACATCAATAAATAGATATAAAAAGTCAAGGCCTGTAGGAAATTATGGTTTAGCAAAAGAATTATCTGAAAATTTTGAAAAACAAAAAATTGATTTTATAAACAAATTAAGAGAAATTGATAAAGGTCTTTAAGGAATATTTGTATAGTAAAATATAACTTATTAAAAAATTATTTTGATCTAATATAGATAAACTAGAAAAAGATACTAGAGAACAAGCAAAATCTCCTCTATGGTTTTCGGAAAGGAGAAAAAGAATAACTGCTTCTAAAGTAGGAAAAGTTTGTAAAATGCGACCATACACATCATGTAAAAAAACAGTTCACGAACTACTGTATGGAGAATTAAATTATAAAATAAAATCTGTAGAGTATGGGCGTATGATGGAAACGGTGGCCAAGAAAAAGTTTGAAGAAATATTTAAACTTGCTATTAAGCCTGTAGGTTTATGTGTGGATAAAAATGATCCTTATATAGCAGGAAGTCCAGGTAATCAAATAAATATATTTAAAATAACACACATTTATTTTGTAGTTTTAATAAATTGTATTACCTACATTAATTTTATTACTTGTGTAGATGGTCTTATTGAAGATGATTCAATTATTGAAATTAAATGTCCCTTTTCGGCTATAACTGAAGTTAATATGTTAGAAGCAGTTAAAAGTGGAAAGGTAAGTTAATGAAATAACTTAACTCTAGTAATTTAAAACTAATATGAGTATTAGGCGTGATCGGCACATAAGTAAAAAAAATATTTTACTTTTATAGGTATCATTTTGCCAAATTGATGACAAAAAATGTGTAACATTAAAAACCAACCATGACTATTATTATCAAATCCAAACTCAGTTACATGTTACAAATAGAACAAAATGTTACTTTTTTATTTTCACAGATAATTGGTCTTATAATATAGTTATTTTATATGATGTCAACTTTTGGAACACAAAAATAAAGTTGCAGTTAGATTTGTAAGCAATAAATTTATGTTTGTAAATTAATAAGTACACTAATTTACTATAATATTATATTTGTATAGATTTTATAACGAATGTTTACTGCCTGAATTGATCAGTCCGCTATTTGGCAAACGTCTTTTAGTAAGCGATATAAGAGATCCGGTTAGAATTTTGAGAGAACAGTATACAAGAAAAAAATAGTAGGTACTAAAGTAAGTACTCCCTAATAAATTAACAATCTACATAATAATTTTAAAAACATTTTGTAATTTTTTTTAGGTAACTCTACCTTTACAATATATTAGAACAAAAAAATTCTAACTAAATTCTGTTGTGTTGCTGAAAAAATACCAAACACCATTTTTGAAAATTAATTTTTTGTCAGTTGTTTTTAAATTGATTATATGCAATTTAATGAGTTATTATTATATATTAGTAAATAGTTGTTTTATTATACAATTATGTGATAAAATCCGAGAATATTGTAGCCGACATTATTTCAGTCGAAAATTTTTCATCCACAATATGTAATGGGTATATGTGTTACGTGTTAATTTTTCGAATGGTAAATGTACATGTTAATATTATTGTGATAATAGCACAGACCATGGCTAAATAGCTAAATATTAAATGGCACAAACTATATGAAAACAGATAGCTCACTCGGGATGTAAAAAAAAATTTAAAAATTAATACCACGACAAAATTAGTGAGGCCATAATACAAGCATAAAATTTTGTTTGGTTCATGAAAAATAATGTCCTTATCATACCTGGAGCCAACATTGAAATTCACATTCACTAACCTGTTTAACCTTGCATTCTTTATGTTCGGTTAATCCTAACCTCTTATACCCCCTTAGATTATTTTGGCCTTTAGTTGCTGTTTGTGTGATTTCCATGTGACTTGACTTATTAGTTGATCATTGACCAAATATGTAGGCTTTAAAATATTTTTTTAATGTGAAATTTAGTGTTGTGATACAAAATTTAAAAAATGGACTGTAAAAAACAGGAATGCGTTGCTCTGTACAATTTCGTAAAATTAAAGCAAGGGCTAGGAATGCAAGTTTTTTCAATATCCAAAAGACGATCGTCTAGCATTATGGATAAAAAAATTGTGGTACAGGAAGTCTGACTGAAGAACTATCAAACAAAAATAGTTATAAAGTATGTAGGGACCACTTTGTAGATTCAATGTTTTTTTAACTCTACAACAAAAAACCGACTTGTCTTGAATGCTGTTCCAACAATATTACCAGTAAATAATAAAATTATCAAAACATGTTCAAAAATAATTTCCAAAACTAATTTTAATCTGAATAAATAAACTAATTCTTGATTTAACTAAAACTTTCAATCATAATTTGAAAGATTAAAATTGGCGAAATTACAATCAACCACGCAAGTAGATCCACAGTATTTTAATGATAGTTCAAAAAAATCAAAATAGTTGTTGTGGTTCAATTCAAGGCACAGGAGGATTATCAAATCATTTAGTGGGGTCCATGAATACTTCTGATGTTTCTAACGAATCCTGCAGCTAAACCACAACTACTGATTCTTCTAACCAAACTCCTGGATACTTATCGGCAAACATACCAAGGAAACAAAAACTAGCTATGGAGATTGAAACTGGAAAAAAGAAATAAAAAAATTAAAGAAGAATAAAGTGAGACTAAGTCAACAATTATCCAACCATGATAAGGTTGAACAATTTTTAAGATTAAATGAAAATATATATATCACCTGAATTATTAACTATATTATCAAGTCCCAAATTGATTTAAAAAGAAAATAATTTAGATCCTTTATTCTTTTTATTATTTTTTTTTTTAAAGCGTATGAAAATTATTAAAAATCAACATTTGGAAATTTAAATATACCCCATGAACATTTGTTTATAATTTAGAATCTTAATTTATAAATAGTTTTAGAATTTATGCTTTACTTAAATGTTCAAATAGACATTTAGTATCCGAAAAATTAATTTAAAAAATGAATTAAGCAATTATACAGCATTTGTGAAGCAATATTTTTTTAATTGTATAATAATTTTGATGTATTGCAATTTAATAAATACCATTTTTCAATTTATGTATTATTTCAACTTTTGTATGTGTTAATATGTACTTACCTTTGTTCTTGCAGATCATAGATAATGTCCAAATATTGTAGTAAATATTCTTCTTATGAAGTAAAGTATAATATCATCATTGTGTTTACAGTACTAACAAATGTATTGCAGCCTAGAGGTAACTTTAAATAATAATTATATAATGTAATTGAGTCGGTGGTTAATAGTTGATGATTAAAGACTAAACAACTGTTAGATGTAAATTGAAGTTTATAAAGTTAAGTTAAAAGCACAGACTATGTGTTAAAATGTCACAAGCTAGTGATAACTATAGCCTTTCATAGTTACACATTTCATTAAGTATTAACTTACTAATTACCATGAGTCATAACAATTAAGAAATGACGATTACAATGACTATAAAATGCAAGCAAATATTCAATAATATTGTAAAACATCTGAACAATAATTTAGATAAATGCATGCAGCTACACTGATTTGGTCGCACCCAATCAGAGAATCTTATTTTGTTCCCCATTGATTTTGGCCGAGTGAGATATCTGTTTTCATATAGTCTATGGTAATGGTTTAACCACTGTTATAGACATTATATTTATACAGCGAGTAAAAACATTGTAAATTATTTACATTGATGACCAGGTGGTCACTCACTCGCTGCGATGCGCTTGGACAAAAAAAAAAACAAAAATATTACTCGTATATTTTTTATCTCTTGTAATAGGGAAGAATAAACAAAATCTAAATTTATATTAATTTCTAAATGTGTAATATAGTTTTAAGATAATTTATTGAAACACTACGTTTTAAAATATTCAATGATAAACCAACCTCAACTAAACTTAGCTCTTTTACAAATATCCAAAAATAATATAAAAACGGATAACATATTGAATATACTCAAATATACCAGTCCAAAAGTCGACATTACATGTGAAAAGTATTTTTTTTTTTTTATATAAAAGTAAAAAAAACATTTGTTTTAACTTACAGTGTAACTCTTTATTTTAATGTAACATTTTTATTATGAATGAAATGTCAGTAACTTGGGATAAAATTAAAAATACTTACATTAAAAAAATATATTCTTAAAAAAAAATATCATTAAAATAAAATAAATAATAAGAAGATAATTCACATACAAAATACTAGGAACCTAAAACTCTATAATCTAATGTAATTTTCATACATATTTTAATACCGTAACCATCTTAATAATTAATAATTTACAGTGCCATATTATAATGATTAGTTATGTATTAAAAATAATAGTAAATACAATAATAAGTTAAAAAAATAAAATTGTTTACATTGAATAATAATAATAATAATATTAATAATAAAAAAACCATAATTTATTTTTCATCAAATGTTAGATTAAATTCCTAAACATAATGAGGTATAAAATTAAGATAGGTAGTACAATTTTGAAAATAATCACATAGAACAATCACTCAACAGTTTTTGTTTTTTTTATATATAACTAATAGGTCTTTTTTGGGTTAATATATGTAACTAACTTCTTATTGGCATTTAATATAAATAAAAATTGGTACATAAAAACCAATACAGTGTTTGCAATTTTTAAATTTAGAAGTGCCATTATAGAATTTTAAAATACTAAATTAGATATGCATTAGGTTTATACAGGAAATATTTTTTGTCATAAATTTTTATTTTCAAATCAGTTGAAATTTGAAATATTTTTAGGCTGTCAGTAGTTTAAAAGTAATTTTTTTATAGTTTAATTTAATGACAGAATAAATCATAGAAATAAATAATAATATTTTAGTTTAAAAATTAAACATATGTCCATAAGTAGTTGGTTAATACATTAATAACTTATATATTTATATTTTATTAGGATCGAAATTTATTTAAGTAGTAAAATGTTTATTTTTTTTCAGCAAAGACAATATGAATTTCACATTTTTTATATTTTAATTAAGCAGAGCTATTTAAAATAATTATCATAGTTGATTTATAATAGTTTGATTAAAAAATATTTATAGTTGGTACGTATACAATAACAAAATACACATAGCACTGAAATTAATACAAAACATAAAACTACGTACTTCAATCTCATATAAAACAACAAACTAATGAAGTTTAAATTCTAAGTACTTTAAAGTTAAATCTGATTACACTCAAATAATACTGAAAGTTGAGTTAAAAACACGCTACAGCTTTAAAAACCATTTTTATGTTTTCATACAAACCTAATTGAATATGAAGTTATAATTAATAATAAATGTTATTGTTGTTCAAGAAATGTGTCACAAAAATAAATACATTTATGAATATATAACATGATTGTGACAAAGCTACGTGTCTGGACAATTATTTTTAAAGATATTCAAGATAATAATATCAGAAATTAATAACTATTGATAGTCAACAAAGTCTATTGTTCCGCAATAAAACAAAATGTAAGGTTTTTGACCAGATATAAGAAATAAATGTTTAACGCTATTTCATTTTTGATGAATAATGCATTGGTAGTACATATACTACAGATAATAACATGTTTAATTGGAATAAATCATATGTGATGATGACATTATAATGCCTCATGAAAACAAAGAGTAAATAACAAAATAATTTGTGGTCGTTTTTAGAAACAATTGTTTTGTGTGGCAGACAACTCATTATAATTTTTAACAAATCACAGGAAAAACATAAATCTACTAACAAAATATGCCGTTTATAAGGCGTTTAAAATCGGTTAAGAAATTACAGTACTTTAAGAAAAAATAAATAGAAATAAACTTGTTTAAAATAAAATAATTAATCAATAATCAAAAAAAAATGAGTCAATAATAAAATGTTTAAAATATAATTACTATCTTATAATAAATCATTGTTTTCCAAACACGAGCTTAAATCATTCATTCATAACATTAAAAGAGTTATAAATTACTAAAATGGTTAAGTGATTTATCTAAAACCAAGTAAAATATAAATTCATAAATCTGAAGAAAAATACCTACAAACAATTTTGTATATGTTTTTTAATCTAATCAATATTATATAAATGTATAACCATTAGATTCAAGTAATGGTATTATGAACTAGTAAAATATCTAGAAATCATGTAGCTACTTGAACGTCATGTGAAGATGATTCGAGAACTTCCATTAAAAATGTATCAATTGGGGAATCGCCAATAAGTTTATAAAAGAATAAATGTTCCAGACATTTTAATCCAATTGAACGTAATGAAGGAAGCCGAAGAAGTAGTTTAGCAAATCGTCCAGGTTCTTCTGGATGTGTTGTACGACAATATTCTTCTAACGCAACATAAACCTTATCACGCAGTACTTCTACTTCATTCACAGACTGCAAACCTTTTGAACCTAATACAAAAATTAGAAGTATTAGTTATATGAATAAGGTAAAATATATTCTTTATATGAAGTAATTGATATTTATAACTAACTATAAGAACATTACCTGGATTAAAAAGAATAATAGTACGCAAACAGCCAAGCTCTGTTCTATCCATACCCATATCTCTCATTTTAGCAACGAGTTCAGTGAGTACACGATCAAATATAGCTTCAACACCAGCTTGGTGAGCTGAATCTCTGTCAACAGTAAGTCCAGTAGCTAAGACTATACCATCTTTTACACTGATTGATCTATGGGAAAATGCTGCAATCATCAACTCATTCCAACCTATAAATGAAAAGTAAATTAAATAAAAATGTTGTATGCTTTAAACAATTTGCGATTTATATATTCACTTACCAGCTCTCAATAATAAAACTTGATCGCCTAGAGGTAAATTTTTAAAATGCGGTATATGCTTGGCCCATTCAACAAGTTGTATTAACTGCTTGTCAGTTGCTTGACAAATAGCACCAACAGTATGTTGAGGATGCTGAAAAAGTTTTTTTATAGTTAGGTACACGATCATTTGTAGTATAAAATATAATTAATTCAGTAATTTTTGTGCAAAAAAAATCTCACTCGTTGCTCTATATACTGTTGTTCAGTCTTTATAGCATCAGCTTTATTCTCAGCCCTTAATATGAGTTCCACTGGCATATCAGTATTAGAACTGCTCGTGGGTTCAACTTCGATGTTATTATGATCTCGTTCTTTTGTACGTTGTCTTTCTTCCTACAATTTATTGGAAAGCATATTATATTATATTATATCATACTTAATATGTGCTTTTTTGAGCTTAATATTGTTAGTGGTATTTTAATCAAAATTCTTACTAATTCTAAGAGAACAAATTATATTTCAATTACATTAGTAAACAACCAACAATAAAGATAAATTAATAAAAAAATAATAATTATAAATTAATTTTACATGTTCAAATTTGTGGTATTATTAATACTATTTTTTAAACATCATGCAGTCCTATTTGTATGAAAATATTGAAAAAATTATTTCATTAACAAAATATTATTATACCTACATGATTATGGGTAATAACTTAAAAAGTGCGGCGCAATCACTAAACATTTCGTAAAATTGCATAACAGCTTATAATTTATATGAATGTATTTCAGGAAGAGTTGGTGTCCAATCAGATTCTGAATACATATTTTTTTTAAGTACCAAATATGCAAATATATGAAGTTCCGATTTTATAGTAAATTTTGTTTGTATTTTTGTAATAAAAAATCTGACATCACCTTATAATTACTCTTTAAATGAGTAATCCACGGGGAGATGGGTTTAGAACATCATACAACATAATATTATAATTTATAACATTAAAATACTAATATTTAAAAATTTGTTGATATTTATAATTATTATTTTTTTATAATAGTAGGGCACAAATTCTAACACATGTCTAAATATCTTACAAACCAACCCATTTGCTACAAAAATGTTTAAACCTAATAATTTCTTAAATAATTTATGACATCGTTATTACCGGTTTATGTTTTTATAAAAATATCACGAAAATCTCGAACACCCGCTCGTGTTTAAGGCACCAATGCACCATTCACATCCGCGACCAAAAAAGCCAGTGTCTTTTTTTACGTCAGTAACATAATTATTTTTAAAGCTTAGGTAAGCAACCTACCACCCACCCACAAGTACTGCAAAAAAAATTCCTCAGCTATTAGTTTAACTATAATATATTTTGTCATAGGCAGGACAAACTTTTGACGCCTCTGGTTGCGACACATGGAGGCTAGAAATATGGAATATACCTATATATGTGTACCACTGATGTTACTATTATTGTATAGTTTCATATGTCATATAGCATATACGGTAGTACGGTATGAGTACAAAAACGTTTAAAGCTGCCTGTAAATAAAGGCGGACGACGACAACAACGCACCTGCACAGCTTCTCTTTTCATGCCCATGGTCAAACATTTTTGATACCTGCAGTATTGGCACCGATTTCGTTGGCGCTTGTCGATGATGCATTTGTTTTCTTCGCGACACGCGTATGACAAATTTTTCCTCACTGTGCGTTTGAAGAACCCTTTGCACCCCTCGCAGCTATATAGAGATGCAAATATGCGTAATTACGATTAGTTGGCGGAAAAATGAGAAAAACGCGGACGTTACCTGTAGACTCCGTAATGTTTTCCACTGGCGCGATCGCCGCATATGGAGCACAGATGTTTCGAACCGCTGAGTGGATGGTTGGGCGGGTAATTCGGAGAGTCTTGTACGTTGCAAGAATTATTCATCATACTGTTCCGATCGACGCTGTATAATCTAAAAAAATTAAAACAAGAAAAACGTTATTTAAATTTATTACAAATCTAGTCATTGACATTTTTGTGTTTAACAACATATATTTTTTCAATTATTGATTAGACAGCACTTAAGTTCATAAACAACAAGCTATTTTTTTTTAACTTTAAGTACATAAAAATTATGACTTTCTAGTACTTTCTGGAATAGTTGTTCTTTAAATCATTACATTTTATACAATGAAAATTGGCTCTTTGATATTTGTGTGTTAACGCTCCAATAGGTCAACAATCTATACAAATCAATGATTGAATAATAATAAATAAATGTATGCACATAAGATTTATATTATAATTCATTATGAATTCATTGTTCAACCAAACATATTTCATATAGCGTATGTCCTACTAAAATTAATTTGCACATTTTGTAACAATTTTTATCAATTCTGGAAAATTAATTAGATAACACTCTATTACTATTAATGGGCTTTAGTGACATTTTTGTATAAGTAACAATATTTTCTAGTGTTTGTATTATATACAAATTAAAAATTTAATGAAACAATATAAACACCTAAGTATAAAAAAACACAGCCTTTAAGCCAAAAGCTCAATTTATATTTCAGACACTTGGCTTTCTAATACCATTAATTATAATAAATAATAAATATAATAGGTGCTATAATTCTATACAATTAGTACAGCTAAAATTTAAATTAGATAGCTGTTACAATTGATTTTCAACAAACTTTAAAATGTAAACATTGATCATTGCAAAAATAGTGGACTAAGCTAATAATACAAAAAAGATCATTGACTGCAGTATAGTAATACTGCTAATACTCCATATAATATGATATGGGTATCAAACGGTTATATGCCAGCCACTGCCTACTTACATAAGCTACTTTAAAAAAGTTATTTAATAAAAATAGTCTACATCAGAAAAATGTGGACCTACCAAAAATAAAGTTTCACATTAAACATTTTGCATAAAATCAGTTATATTGTACATAATAAACCTAATCGAATTGCTCAAAGTATGCTAATGAATTATGTATGATCATATAATTACAGTAAGTACTACACTTTTTAAATATAACGGATCAACAAAATTTTTGTAACACCCATACCAAAGTAAAATATCCACAGTATTAAGACATTTTATTTACAATTTAAATTCACAATTTTGAATGTGAATGAATGTATAGCTGTATAGCAATGTATGTACTCAATTACAGTTGACTATGCAAAAGCAGAAATATTTTAAATCTAAAGATATAGACATTTTTAATTATAAATATCAATCACATCATACTGACAACTATGTATACGTACCTATATTTTACATATGTCTTTATATGTATAGTAAATTAAAAACCTAACATAGAACACTATTTAATAGTTGTAGTAAATACTATAGTAAGTTGCATGTAATATTACAAGTAATATATAAGTATAAGTAACTTCTAATAAATCACAACAAAATTGTTGAAGAAGAAGAATAAGAATAGTAATTATTTATAAAATACTGAAGAGAACATTTTACTTTTCACAATTTTTAATTTAATTTAGGTATACTTGTAGATGTGGAATATTAAAATCAATCACAAATAAAATACAAATACTTCAATAATCCATGAATTGTTTATGGTTTAAAATTATAATAGTCTTAAAAGTCAAGTGATAAAATTAAAATAAAGTAAGTAGTTAGTAAGTTTAACACTAATACAATAGAATAAAGACTACAATAGAGAATTAATGTACTAAAAAAGTTATCTAGTCTCTAATAGGTATCACCTATATTTAAAAATTATGATTGAAGTTAAAACACATTAAGCAGGTACCAAGGTACTTCTTTCATAATTTTACTATAATACTATAAATCTTACTCAGAGGCGACAAACGTAAGTATACACTTAGCCCCTCATATAAGGTACCCCACTGTTGCATGCTTTAAACATGATTCCACAACACAACAAAAAATTAACAAGATTTTCTAAAAATTTAATATTTTTATTCAACCACACTGTATACGCTTCTACATAGGTATATAATTATATTTATCGATTTTGATATAGCATAACCTCTGTAACTTTTAAATCTCAGTTATACCGATAGAAATACCTATAGAGTGCTTAGTAAAAACGTACGTTTTATAAAATACGTATTTTATTAAAAACGATAAACAAATATAACAACAATACTTTCATACAGGTACCTACGTTCCGTCCAATGTTCAAGTTTCAAACAATGCGTTAACCCAACCCATCATTACAATTTACCTGTCACTTGAATACATGGTGTACGAGTTGGAATACATTTTAAACGTCTTCGAAAACTCTTCAATTTAACATAAAAAATAATAAAAATCGTTGAAACACACTATTTGGACCGAACATCGAGTAGGTATAACAACACTGAAGACCAAACACACTATTAAAATAATATGTACATTGTACAATGCAAATACTATTATGATAAACGAGCAAAAATATATTTTGTCAGCCAAAATAAATGTTTGTCTTTGATTTACTGTGATATACACTACGTACACTGAAATATGTACCTACTATGCAAAAATTAATTTACAACTGAGACGTGCACACTGCGAGAGCATTGCGAAATATAACGGAATGAAATAATTGATGAATACGGCTTGTTAGTGAAAAAAAAATCGTATAAACACAACAATGACGATTATATTGGTTGTAATAATATTAGGTCATTTATGTTTGTTACACGTCGACGGCGCATTATTGATAATGTTAATAATATGTACATCGTGTTCAGTGGAATATTAGATAATATTATGGTATTCAATATTTACACTATAATTAATAATATTACAGGTCGGATTTTCACGGAAAAATAAGATACTATATTATTTAATTAAATGTAAATGTATACGTGATGTGTACCTATATTGTAGTTGTATACACATTATACATTTTAAAATACCAACGCATAAACATCGAATCAGACGAATTTAATTAAAAAGTTTGATAATGAGAATATTATATCGGAATGAACAATAATCAGTTTTTTATCGACCGGTTTTATGATTAGATAGGTATACACACTTTATTAAAAAACTACACATATTATACACACATTATATAAATATATGTAAATATTATTCATGTTTGGGGTACCTATATCTGTAGATAAATAACACAAGAATCCGGATTTTTATGGAACAAAAAAAAACGTTTCATATAAAAAGCCTATTACTCTTAAACTCCAAGTGAATAAAAAATATTTGAGTTTCAGAACCAGAATAATCTGTATGCACACGATTTTATTTTGTATGTAGATGCATAATAATATAGTATAATATGGTAATATTTCCAAAAAAAAACCGGACATTAGTAAGATACAACGAAATAAGAAATGTTTGGTTTATTACAAGTTTATTCTTTTTGGAATAATTTTTGTCAGATTAAATAAGTATTTTTAAGGAAAAAACGTTTCATAAGCCTATTATGCTTTTTATACTCCATGTAAATAAAAAATATTTGAATTTCAAAACCAGTAGAATCTATATGTACATGATGACTATATTACACATACATCCATAACATAGTATATTAATATTGTAGGAATATTTCCTATTATGGCCTACGGAACATACCTATAGGTGCAATGAAATACAAAATGTTTGGTTTATTACACGTTTATTATTTTCTAAATTAAAGCTGTCAGATTAAATCGGGTTGAGAAAGTTCATGCCGAGACTACTAAAAATAATTGCATTAATTATTTATAATGTAATAACTATCATAATCAATAGTAATTAATACAAATAATAAATCAACAACAATAAATGATAATTAAGATTAATCTGTTTTTAATATTTGTAATCAAAATAATAAAATACCATATGTTTCACTTCTAATCCACAGGTTAGCGAAATAAATGTTGAGTAATGAGTATTATAAGTGCAGTCGAATTATTTAATCGGTATAAACTATGCTTACCCTGCAGGACTTAGAGGAGCTCCCGGAGGACTGAAATTAACCATTAAAGTTGCCGTGTCAGGTTTGAGGTCTAGGGGCGACTGAGGACCCATTGAACTCAGAGACAGATTATTGTCCAATCTTAATCCTGTAAACACACGAATAAAATATTAGGCATTAAAAATAAATAGGTACATAAGAAAAACAGTTGAACGTTGGAAATTATTGCCTTATACCCAAATTTATATATCGATATTATGTAAATTAAACCGTTTACCTGAATAATATATACGTCATACATTACATATGTTACACATTACAATTGTTAGTAATTACATAACTATACGGTTTGTTCAATATATGCAAAAGGAAGGGAAGAGCTTAACTAGGTACCTGCGCGTCATTGCATAAGACAAATATGTGTACAATACGTATAGGTACATGTATAACATTTATGATGTATATATGGTTGTAGCGGTATTAACCATATTACATATTATAATACACATTTAACAGCTTGTGACAATATTCGATCGAGTAATGGAAAAACAAGATCGAATTTCTACCAACGGCGGTTATTGTACGAATGCGGGATGTGCGTTATTGACTTATAGTACATTTATAATATGATATGTCTTTATTTACCAAAGTGTCTAGGCATCCCTACTATGCTGTCATTGGTAAGGGAAAATTAACTTTTGTTTTCAAAAATGTGGTACCTATTGTTGAAATTTCAAATTTTATTAAAAATAAATATTTTCAAAGACGTTAAAATCGGTATTTTTTGACGTAAAGAGTCAAAGAATAGAATTCTTAGTTAAAATAAATACGCCATAAAATCGGGGAAATTTATTGTAGAATGTGAAATTATGCCATTAAAAATACACATTAACCTCCCCCTATCAATTAACTAGTGTACAGTGAGCCCAATTGACAATTTTTTTTCTTTTGTTAATACCTACATAGGAAGTATATACGTTTGTAAATTGAGACCAGTCCGTTTGAGCCCAATAGGCGAATAAGTGAACTGTTTAACTAACTAATCGTGAGTCCTGTAAGCGGCGACAAAAGTTGTACTTTATGTAGGTTCTTTTGATTTTTCATCGGAGATACGAATACGGCAGCTATAATCAGACTGCACATGGATCCAATTATACATTGCTGCCGACTACAGTATACTATAATGACGAAAAAATAAACTATAGAATCGAGAAATGCTCGATTTTATATTAAAATAAAATGCTACATTTTTGTTATATTAATCTCATTTAAATCTTTTCTTGGCAAATTACCGTGCATATGAGGTACGAGTGACAAAGATAATCGGCGTGCGATTTTTTTTTTTTACGCTTTAATACACGACGACCATTTCACATACACACAACATACGTTACAACAAATACCACAGCTATGATCGATGTTTTTCGAAAATAGCAAAAATATAGTGTTGTATACGTGTGTGTAGTCTAGGTACTCGTATAATATGCATACTAGTAATATACATTACACACACACATATATTATATTATATATTGCGTTACTGTGAAATCGTGGAACTACAGAGTACATGTATGATATATTGATATATATAATGTATAGTGTACATAATGCATATTATATACATAGTATTGACGCATAAATTGAAATATCCACATGCGATAAAGTGTATACAATACAATAATAAAGTAACCTCGAAAGAAACTAAAAAACGTCGGTAATAATATAATAGATTAAAAATAGGCATACCTATACACCTATATTATAATATTATTTATGTCGTGGATGTGCATTGTGCATGTTAAACTGCAGTAGGTAATAAAAAATATTATATTATCACTTTAACACACTATTCGTGCAGTCGAAACTATGCGTAATATTAAATATCAACTGTATCTTATGGTTACATTGTTGTGAATATAGATTAACAATAATAACACATCCACATTTTGTGGTGTATATGAACACACACGGCAACAAGCTAATGCCAGCCGAAAACGCATAATATGTACGTGTACGATTGATATCAGGTTTGTATACCTGAAAACAGTAAAAGCAAAATAGCAATAATGACTAGGTACCTACATTTCACTTATAATAGGCACCTATATTGAAATTTGAAAGGACTTCAACTTTGCAGTCCATTTTCAACCTCAAATCGATAGGCAATCGATATGGGTAATATTATTGTGTGTCACATTTATGTCTCTCTGTTTTCCCGAGTACCTACATATTGAGAGCGAAAACTCTCCTCGACCTTCACCTCTACAAATTTAATGTAAAAAAAAAATACACAAGTAGCATAATGATACGACCTTGAATACTTTTATTCGCTGCATAATAGGTATCCTCTTTTCAACTGCTGACTAGTATGCCCTTGATTTGGTATATATAGTGTTAACAATAAAAAATACGTTGAAAGAAAAATGAATAAAAACAAATTTTAATCTATATTATCGCATATAATCATATATTTTCTGTGTTGTATATTCACAAACAATAATGCAACAGCCAATAGGTATAATACATAAAAAATCATATTGTGATTTAGCTTTTAGGCAATGATGTGTACCTATACACTGAAAATATAGTGTTAATTAATATGATGTTCAAAGTTAAGGTTTCAACAAGTTCAAAACGATTACCAATCATCATCACTATTAACAAGACGTCTGTGATAATGTTTATATTATATACTATCAGATTACACTAATTGTTTACTGTCGGAGTCGAGAATATTAGTTTGGTGCAGGCAAACCTATATTATATATACATGTAAATTTAATTAAATACCAGGTATTCTTTAATTAGGTTGTTATATTCACATATTAAAATCGGATAAGTTGTATTGTAAAACTGCACAATTTTACATAAATTTGTGTTTTTGTCCAAATGAGTAAAATTAAAACTATTCTAAAATCCTAGGTACATACGTACAAACAGAAAATTATTTAATACCGTGAAAGTCAAATTTCTATATATTCGGTTTAGTGTATCTAGTCATTGAATAGATCACTGTAAAGGATGCGATACATTTTAATTCAACGATAAATCATTATTCATTACATATACGAAAAATTATGCGGAAACGATATGTCAGATTCTATTTCTATAAGGGTATTTTATATATAGTTGATTTATTTTATTAAGCTTTAGTAATTTATTTATATATTTCTAAATAGCTCTAATGTTCAATTAGAATTCAATTAAACGTTGGAAGTTAATTGAACTGATATTTGAAAAAATAGTAACATATATTATGTATCTAGGTATAAATAATGTACGTCTGGATAGGCCTTATACAGACTGGAAAGCACAGAACCAATTGGCGTCGAATTTTGAACAAATATTTCTAGAGACTTGGGGAATATTTATAGCTTCATTTTTCAACCTTTTTATAGGTTAGGTTCATAAACTGTCTTACACAGAAATTTCGTTTTGCCTCATGAAAATTATAGAACTTTTTTTTCATTTGTATTAAAGTTGCCACGGGTTATAAAAATATAAGATACTTTTAAATAATTTATAAAATATAAAAATTATTGTAAGTTTGTAGCTTATATAATCAAAAAATAATCGACTAATTTTTATGAACATTTAAGAGATTGTTTATAGAGGATTTAGAAAAGTTTAGACTGTTTAGAGAGTAATATTTGAACCACGTTTCAAAAATACACTGAGTTCTGTACCCAATCCACCACAGAATCCTAAATATACACCAAAACATAATATATAGCATAGTATTTTATGTTTGTTAATTTTTTTGGTGGTAATACTATAAATAGTCAGGTTATATAGTTAGTACTTAGTATTATATGCAATTGTATTTCCCTATTGTTGTTGTTAACTAAATTGTATTATAGAGCAAGCCAAATGATAAATATGAAAACAAATTTCAATTACAAAATAAGTTTTTAATTTTAATTTTAAATTATATTAAGTCAGTATGTTATCCAGTCAGTATTTGGTCAGGCCATGGCCTGACCATTAGTTTTGACTATGGGTATGTCAATTCTCAATACCGAAGTAGAATTGAATATTATAGGTCAATGGTTTAAAATTTAAATAGCTTTAAACTAGGGTAAAAATTTGAAAATGTCATTGTGTATTTAACATAATAATTTAAGCAATAGAGAAATGTTTTAAGTTTCTACTATTAGTGTTTTTAATTTCAACAATATAACTAAAATCGTTATTTTAAGTTAAATTTTAATATTAGACTTCAAACGATTATAATGCCGCATTAGGTTTCTGCCTTACAAAAACATGCAGTTAGCAATTTAAATAGAAAAAAAACTACAATAGTTGAACAATTCAACTGTTTATAAATAGCATAAACATAGCCAAAATATTTTAAAATCATATCTCACATTCCCACCAAGCCACCAAGGAAATGCTAGCATAAATTTTTGCCGAAAATTTAAAGTGTTTACAAAAAACTGCAACAGTTTTGAGGTTAATATTACCATTTTGCGTATCATTTTTTTTCGATATTTTTGAAAAGTATTAGGACATTTTTTACCACAAAGTACTACCAACCAGATCTAATTGCAACTAGAAAACCCCTTCAAAGTTTAAGATTGACATTTTTTTACTGCTCCAAGAGTTGACGAAGCGGACAAAAAAACATCCACACATCATTGTATAACCAATACGGCAATACAATATGCATCGCTCCACTCAAAAATAAAATGAAGGTTGTACAATAAATTAGAGGACATTAAAAGGTAAGGCTAAGTTAGTTTAACATTGAAGAACAGCGTGGTGCACTTATTCGTAATCGATGTCTTATGCACACACATAACATACTGAATAATATCGCTCCACATTTCCAATTTACCAAATATCAGATAAAAATATTATTTATAATCTCTCGTCGGTTTTTCGGTATCTTCGTTTTAAGGTGACGAGTAAATAGAATAAACAATTAAAAAAGTAGATCAATGCCCACTTTAAAATGTTATCGTTCTTAAATTCTGCTCAAAGTAAATGTATGTTTATTTCAACTACAAAAAAAAATAATTGTAAATAGGTACTAAACGTAGGTATACAAATATATTGTAAGATATTACGTTGGTACATCATTTGACTTATTTGAAGGAATAAACAGGTAATGATTACGCGTGTATAAAACATAAAATGTATTGTTAT